TGTGTGTGTGTGTGTGTGTGTGTGAGTGTGAGTGTGAGTTTGAGTGTGAGAGTGAGTGTGAGTGTGAGTTTGAGTGTGAGAGTGTGTGTGTGTGTGTGTGTGTGCAAAATTAAGCAAGGGAGTGAAGCTCCTCATCTGACCAAAATGAATAGGGACAGATAATGTTGAATTATGGATGGTACCTTTTCCCTTCACAGTTGTGCCCCCTGCTGTCTCTCTTCTTTTTTTTCTTCAAGATTGGACTTTATTCTTATTGGGTTAATTTGAATTCAGAAGGGATTTTAGTACTGGAATTACCTTTTTTTAACCCAGATAGTTGGCCAAAATGTGTAAATCCATAATTTGTCAACATGCAGCTCACTAAGAAAAAGAGCTTTAGTTACAATTAAAAAAAAATAATAAAAGAGGTCAAATGTTTCTTTTGTCATGACATTCATCACATTCACACTCTTGCAGTGTCTTCACCTGCTCTTCCAAACGTTGACCTCAGTGCTTTCAGAGCCAGACTGATCTCTGAGTCAACATGCAGCTCACTAAGAAAAAGAGCTTTAGTTACAATTAAAAAAAAATAATAAAAGAGGTCAAATGTTTCTTTTGTCATGACATTCATCACATTCACACTCTTGCAGTGTCTTCACCTGCTCTTCCAAACGTTGACCTCAGTGCTTTCAGAGCCAGACTGATCTCTGGATTCAGAGGGTGAGTAATGAAACAAACTCTCTGTGTGTGTGCATGCTAGTAGAATTTTCTGCCTTTTGGCTAGACAGCCACTCATTCGTCACCTCATAGTCAAAAATCAATCCCATCATGCACAATAGTTAAGGACCAGCTCTGTTTTTAACTCAGATTTGAGCACAGAGGCCATAGGGCAGCAGAAGCTGCTGTCCTCTGTATTTAGCAAAGCATTTAGATGTGAAAGCGGAGCAGGGAGGTTGCCGGCAGCGATGGATGTCAGGTTTGTAATTGGGGTTGTCAGAAGGTTGAGGGGGTTGTCGGGGCCCTGTCTCCTTAGCGACCTGCTCTTGTAATAATCAAGGTCAGTAGATAATTTAATCATTAAACAATGTTGAATCTTTTTTCCTTCCTCGCCTCCCTGCTGTCCGCCATCAACACTCCCCACCAGCACTGCATCTTGATTTCTCAGTGTGTTGTCGGACTGTATATGAATGTGTATTTGTGTATATGTGTGACCACTGAGACTCCAGAAGGCTTTTTTTTTAGGTCCATAAGGTATACTACCTATATATTATAATAACATGATGAGTATAATATTATTATTAAAATCTATTCAAAACATAACAATCCTACTATGTATACTGTTCAAAAGTTTTAGGTCAGCAAGTTTTTTTTTTATTTTTTAGAAATGTATATTTTTATTCAGCAAGGATGTATTAAATTGATCAAAAGTGACAGTGAAGACATTTATAATGTTACAAAATATTCTGTTTCAAATAATTTTTTTAAAAACTTTCTACCAAAGTATAAAAAATTGTTTAAAAAAAATTGCAGCACAACGGTTTTTAACATTGATAATAATAATAAATGTTTCTTGAGCACCAAATCATCATATTAGAATGATTTCTGAAGGATTATGTGACACTAAAGACTGGAGTAATGCCTGCTGAAAATTCTGCTTTGCCATCACAGGAATAAAATGCATTCAGTTCAATTAGCATGTATTTATATAGTGATAGATAGATGCATATAGTTTCGAAGCAGTCAAAATTCAAAATATAAAATTATTTTATTTTAAATCGTAATAATTCACTATATATAATTTTTTTTTTTATTACATATATGCAGCCTTGGTGAGAATAAAAGACTTCTTTCAAAATTATCAATCAACCCAGTCTTTTGGATTGTGCTGTATGCTTAAATAATTGTATACATGTTTATTACATCAAATGAAGCCCTGTCACACCAAATATGTACTTGATCTTGAAATGAATCTTTAGCAGATGTTTAACCGAAATATTTTGTTTGAAAGTTGCACTAGAAATGTTTTTGTCCATGTCTGTATGCGACTTATCTCTAATCCTCTACTGCCCCCTACAGGTTTCACAATGTGGAGCTTATGGCAAAGGTAAGAGTGAAACCAAGAGATTTTAAGAAAGATGATGGAAAAGAACCTTTGTTAAAGTCACCCCTTCATCTGCTGTTACAGATCACAGAGCTTCTCTGTAAAGACCCTCGGTTCAATAGTACTGAACCTGAAACTTCTGGTATGTTGCTTGTTTGCACTGTTTTTCCAACCCTTTAACATTCTGTATTTGCCTGCTTATGTATTTAACACTTTTTTTTTTTTGAAAATGAAAATTTGTGGAAAAGGGGGAGGGAAAAAAATTATATGCTGCATGAATTAACTTTTTTCTTTTGATTTATTTTCTTTTTTTAATTGACATAATATTCATGATAATCTTAGCTGATAGCCAGTATAATACCAGCTCTTATGCTGGTTGGCAAATATTGCACTAGTAAATCTCAATGACAAGATGTCCTCTGAGCTGGTTTCATTGACAGTATTGTGTGTGTGTGCGTGCGTGCGGAGGTCTGTAGGGCCACTGGCAGTGATGGAGTTTATCCTGACAGCTGTACTTTGCATTGAGTGTGTGTGTCTGATGCAGTCTGAATAGTAGCTGTGTGCATGTTTATGTGAGAGCTGTCTGCTTGCTGACTCTGTGCTGAGTTAACAGAGCTTCTGCGAGTGTTTGTTGTCTCGCTGCACTGGAGCTGGCCTCTGCGCTGGTGTCCTAGCAGGTGGGAGCGATGGAGATGGTCTCTCTGTCTCATCCCATCACTGTGCACAACGCAAATGTGTGCGTGAGGCTGTCAGCTGCCAGCCACTCGTTAAACCATACTTCAGTCAAGTCTGCATCAAAGCTGCCTGTGTCAGCATAACACACACATATTGGTTTAACATCTTATTTGCTGGATTGCAATATTTTTGTTGTTCTGTTCCAACAGAAGCTCCCTTTGTGGTTTTATATGACTCTAGTAGTGTATTGATAGAAAGCAGGAAGTGTCAAATTGGTTCTTCTCTCCTTTTTTGCAGAAAATGTGGCCTACTTCCTTTACAACTTGATTGATTCCATGAACGAGACTGAGGTGCACTCCAAAGAAGAGCAGCTTAGGGAGTACTTTGGCCTGCTCAAGAACATGGTACGTTTGCAAACACTCGAGCAAAGTGTCATGAACAGTTAAATCTGCCTGTTAAATCGAGTCTGTCTAGGACCCCAACAGGTGGCTGTGCTCAAACAAAAACATTTGTACGCTGTTGTTCAAAAATTTGGGGTCAATGATTTATTTATTTATTTTTTGTTTAAGGAAATTAATACTTTTATTCAGCAAGTAAGCATTAAATTGGTCATAAGTGACAGTACAGACATTTATAATGTTATAAAATATTTCTGTTTTTCATAAATGCTGTTCTTTTGAACATCAATAAATCCAGAGAAGAAAAAATATAATGATTCACAAAAATATTAAGCCGCATAGAAAAAGAAGGGAAAAAAAGCATATTAGAATGATTTCTGAAGTTCATGTGACAAAGAAGACTGGAGTAATGACTGCTGAAAATTCTGCTTTTTTCTGTCACAGGAATAAATTGCATTTTAAAATATATTCAAATAGAAAACTCTGTAATATTTCAACAATGTTACTGTTTTACTGTATTTTTGATCAAATGTCGGTATGCTAAGCTACAGCTAGTATGCAGAACGTTAAGCTTGCAAAATAAAACTACCTAAAAATAACACAAAGAACAAGACATGTTTAATTCTGCATCCACAGTTTTGATTAATTGCTTTCAAATGTAACATTATTCAAAATACATAAGTGATCAAAATATAAACATAAAAACATACATACATACAGAAGCTCTGAAGCAAAGCTAAAGGCCATTTTGAAACAACTTAATGAGCGTGAAAATAGTTCAGGAAAATCTTTATTTTTCTTGTTGAGTAGTTACTTTTTTGTTGTTAATTTCTCTGCTTTCAGAATATCAGCATCTCGCTGAACATATTCAGAGGAATCCGGAACATTCTGGAGTCCTACCAAGTTCCAGAGCTTGTCAAGGTATTTTATTATTAGTGGTGTTTGCAGAGGCAAGTATTATTTTACTATACTTGGGGATATTGTTAACACCATTGCCATTCCATTCAGCTTTCAGCCATGAATGATACCAAAATTCAACATTAGAGGTGTGCTGTTACTTCTATAAGTGAAAAGACTTTATTTGCAGACAATAAAATGACTAAAAACCCCAAAGACACCTATAATGGAGAAACTTGTGCATTAATTAGCAGCTTCCTAGCAACCACACCCTAGTAAATGCATAGCAACACCCTGACATCATAGAGATTTCCCACTAATATTAACAAAACCTCCACTAATATTTGCATAATTGTTTTATTCAGATCTGTAATAGTACAGTTAATAGACCAGGTCATATTTTATCTTTCAGGATGTCCTTGCTCTTGTGGATAAAAAGGACAATGGGTTGGAGAATGAAGCAACACTGCTTAGAGTATGTGTGTGTGTGTGTGTGTGTGTGTGTGTGTGTGTGTGTGTGTGTGTGTATATATGTGTATATATATATATATATATGCGCGCAGGGTTTGTTATTAACACCCACCAACCCGCCAAATGCGGGTAAAAATCAGCTGTGGCGGGTAATGCTGTCAAATCACTAGCCAATTTGGCCGGTTACTTTTCCTAAATTATGTTCACTAATTAATTTCTTGGGGAAGTTCATGCAGGCCAAATCTGCTCAGGTTTAGCGCAAATACTGAACTCGTGAGACATCATGACATTATCGAGTCTATTGCAAAAGCTAAACAAAACACACCTACAGAGGCACACATACACAATGAGATGAAGGCTGGTTAGACCAACACAGGCTTTAGTGTGCGTGCGCTTTTAGAGTGTGCTCTTTCACTGCATGATTCAGTCTATTAATATGCATTAACAATGATCACATACTTCAAGATAAGGAGGCAGAAAATGTATATATTTATATCAATTCATATAGTTAATCAATATCACACGAAGAGAAAAAATCAGCATGGTTATAAATGTGATATTTATTTTATACAACAGTTCAATAAACAATAAGTTAATATCAAGAGACTTACATTTTAAACACCATATTGGCTGTTTTTGCGCTATTTCTGTGCTATTTCGCCAACAAAAAACATTCCAAACACAGCCACAGTACTGTTTTGCTTCTCTGAGCAACATGACGTTGTTTTGTTTCTGAATGAATCAACCGTGTAAATGAATTCGGTTCAATCGCAATGACTCACTTAACAGTGACTTGCTGCCAGCTACTGGCGGTTTTAATTTCACATTTAATGTATCTTTTAATTTTTTTAATAATTTCACGTTTTAAATATCAAAACATTATTTATGCATTTGTAACTGCAGTTTAAAGCATTCCATGTCCCTCTAAACTGCATTAACGTGTAAACTTCATATGCAACTTCTGCAAAGATACATTTTATTGATACTGATTTAATTTGTTTAGTAACAGCCTAAAT